GCTCATCTGGTGTGTGTAATGTAATCTAATGTTAACTAATAAGTTAAACATGTTCCAAATTCTCACATTTGAAAGGTCATTTTTTGCTATTTCTTATCTTATAGAATCAACTGAGTTGTACATTTTTTGCAATATTTTGCTTTCTTTGAACATAAAGTAAGAAGAATCTTCACTATATAAAAAAATACCTTGTACCTAGGGTGCTTGTACCAACCAACCAATTTCTAAAATCACTTTGAAATTTCTTTGGATAATTCTTCTCTTTGCTCCACCTCCCAAACAATATTGGATGAAGACAGAAAAGAGTAGTAGTGAAGTTGAAACTGTGCGCTAATAATTTGCATGTAGGGCAAGGTAAGGAAGACAGTGCCTTCTCTTTTTGTACTTCCCTGGAAACAACATCTAAGCACTGTCATTTTGTAAAGAAAAGAGAACCAGATAAACTATCGTACTAGTGTGCACAAACTAAGTCTTGAAACCAACTGTTACCATAATTCAGATATGTATAGAGCCATCAATCATTACTGTAACAGCATTTGTACTATTTGAGAAAAATGCTGACTGGTCGAAGTGCATCCTGTGAGCTCACTCATCTGTCTTGGCAAGATTTCTACTACATCTCTATTACACTCTTGGGGCTGTAGAACAGCATTGGGTTAGCTGGTCAGTAGACTACATGTAACTATCAAAAGGGGACTGTCTATTTAAATGGGGGAGGGGGGTAAACTGTAGGTAGCAAAGCTCATGCACTCCTTTTCAGCAGAAATACTATTGAATTGTGACATTGATTTGTCTAATTTGTGTGTAAATATGACAATAAAGTATATGACATTGTATGCAAAAACTGCATGGTGATGTGCAGCTACCTAATAGTATGTGATTCAAGCACTTGTACCTGTATTCATGGAACAGTCATAAGATATATTGTGTTGAATGAAAGAGATAGGTCTATAACTTAAAGGTAATATATATGCTCTAAAAGATGATTTGTAGAGATTACACATAGTATTGTTAAAATTGATTGTACAAGAGTGCCCAAGGTGCCCTAGACAGAGTATTTCATGTTTTCATATTATCTGATGATTTTTAGGAAAATTTGCCCTTCATGCATCCTGTGTAACTTGTTCATTGTATTGTAATCTTGATGTATTAGACTAGATGTATGGAGCAAGTTGGAGCTGTTATTTCCAACGTTAAAAAATTGGACTTATCCAGACTTTCTGCAACCTATGATCCACTGCTCACTGAGTCATGTTTGTTATTTGCATACTGTGATGTCATAGAAGTGCTGGGTTGCTCATTCCTAGACAAAGACTGGAGTTGAACGGTAAAGAAAATTGGGTAACTCCAATTTTGTGCATTGGAAATAACAGTTCAAACTTGCTTCATGATGACTTCTAGATGAAACTTTCAATGAACTTTCAAGATGAGACTACATGTACTTGTACTGTTGCCTGGCGCGAACACTTGTAATTTGTATCCCTGCTGTTTAAAATGAAGAGTTTATATTTGATTATGAGCTGTAAGAAATTATGTCTTTACATGTATTAAAGTCTTTGCATTGACAGTATAACACAAATGCATCTTTTTAACACAAATACCAAAGAGGTTTAACATCAAGGAAGTGCAACCAAGTTTTCAGTACCATGGAAAGGTCGCATCAGTAAAAACTAGAGTTCCATGATCTCATACCTTTGCCAAATTAAGAGAACCTTTATGACTAACAAATTACAAATGTTTCTTATCGATTATCCAAATACGATCCTCATCTGCATGATTTATATCAGTTGAAAATATTCTCCATCCAAAGTCTGTCTCATCTTAACAAAGGTCATTCTAGCATTTCCTCATAAATTATGCAAATGAGGTTCTGATTGGAAAAAGTTGCGTGTAATGATGTTCATGTTCACTTAACTTCCAAATGCTGGAAGTATGAAATTCCTGGCCGTTACCACTATGCAATTAGATGCAACAGTTTATTCGCGGTCCCAAAATAGCGCCACCGGGCGATTAAAATCATCATTACAGGAAAACACGCACCTAGCAAGTGCAAGCATGTAACGAACCGCTAGGGGTCCTCATTGGCACGTGCGGATGATTCAGGTAAACTAACATACTGCGACAAAATGCTGTGATAGGGCGAGAAAATTAGGCTACGAGGGTCAAAGGCCACAAAATAGTTGACTGAATGATCGAAGGCGTTTCGTAGCTCCTTGAATCACCTTGCAATGATTATAACGTTTCTTGACGTTGATCTTCAAGGCCAGGTGAGTGTTGAACCTATAATTCATAAACTACATGATATTCACTTGTTTTACTGTAAAATAATGGAAACAAGAAAGGGTAGGTTAACCATTAAAGTTTGCGCTGATGTCATAATATGACGATAGTTGCGGAGAAGATAAAGGATCGGGAACTAATAAAAAGGTCTGGTAACCAGGCTAGCAAATTTGCGGAGAGGTTAAAGACTTCGAAGCTAAAAAAAACGTGTAAGTCTGGTAAACAGTTCTTGGCAAGCTGTCCGATTGTATTGGGGGAGACGGAGGCCACTGCCTGCAGTACTACAAACAGTCAATAGTCGGCGCTTAAGGAATACCGTGTTAAACTGCCGTACGAGTGTTATTCATACTACATTTTTCATTTCTTCCGCTACACGGCGCTTTTAGACCGTTGCATGATTTATTGCATATTACTTGAATAACTTCATTATGGAATGTGATAAGACAGATGAGCTGTCATGCTCCTACCACTACTACTACTACTTTGCATCATTTCTAAGTTATGAAACAAGATGGAGAACTTTGGAAAAGCTAGAGTTCCATGATCTTAAACCTTCGCCAAATGATGTTAACCTTCATGATTGACTGATTATAAACGTGCAAATAAGATCCTCATTTGTATGAATTATATCAGTTGATCATATTACCTTCACAATACTAGACCTTTCTCCTTTTCAGGAACTCTATAAGAAAGCATATTATTTCCCCAACATAAAAGTTCAAGAAAATTCAGAAGAAAGACAAAAACACACAAATGAGGACAGACTTTCATTTATTTTATTGCACATTTAAATTTTTAGTCTAAGGCTCAGTTTTACAGTAAGACACTCATTTCTGTGTTACAGTATTAATCAGTGTGATATTACATGCGCAGGAATACGCAAAATATCTGCAGCACTTAGGACTTGAACTAAGCAGCTCTTGCTGACACGTCATCACACAGCAGTGGCCTTGTGGTGGCTGTTGCCTTGGCTTTCATCATCAGGGCCTGAAGGAGGCATAATGTTACAGTCAGTATCATCAATTATGCCGGGGAGCTTGTAGTCAGATCCAACCATATGAAATGAGAGTGACACAAAGTCTTAAAGGAATCTTTGACCACAATGGCAGAACATACAGCACCTGTGCAAGACTTCTGAGAGAATAAAGATTCTGGAGCTAAAATAGGTCTGGTAACCAGGCTATTTATCGGGTGGGTACACAGTAAACACCCCTGCACGTACCGGCTTTTACTGCTTGGGCTGTGACGACCACTTGGGAATGTTGAAGGTGACCCAGGCTGGGATGGCTCCGATCCCCGTCACCATGACAAGCCCGCCTATGATCAGCTCCTACATGTACAACAGAACACAGAAACGTCCACTCACGCATGATGTACAAAATGAATAAACTGGTGGACGTACCAACCTCATAAGTATCTAATAGCAGCCCAGAAAAGAACAAGAAACAGTGACTGTCATGCCTTCAAATCAGAATTATCAACCAAGAGTTGAGGTGTTCAAAAACTTGAATGTACTTTCCAAGAACTATCATAGAGTGGAACTCCTTTCCACCAAGCACAGTTGGGGCATCATTTAAACAACTCCTGCAATAAATGTGCAAAGATTGTGTGTAACACAAGTCGTTTTGTGTAATATAGCTAGCTTCTGCCGTGCCATGTGCCTGTGAAGTTGGTGTGTTACACCAAAGGGCTGTTCTCCCGGTTATACCAATACAGATGCAGAACACACGGAATTGAAAAGGGATCTCTCAAACCACTTTGGCACACCGAGGGGGTTATAATTATATTGTGGTCGTGACAAGAAAGACAGATGCTGCCATTTACAGTACATGTACACACAGGTTCATTGCTCGGGGGAAATTCGGAGCAATTTAAGTTGAACAGCAAGTCTCAAATGCCCAATCTCTAGAGGCAGGGGCAGACTGACCATTAATGCATTAGGGACTGCTCAGGTTCTCCTTCTTTCATTGATTAAGGCCACACCAATTTAATTTGCTGGTTCTCACCTTCCAGCTTCATTTTTTTCTGATTTGCCAAAAAAAAAAAACATTTCAGGCTCTGCATCAAAATGCTAATATTTTGGCCCCAACAGTCCCTTTTATGTTCCAGGTTTTCCATCTGATCTATCAATGCAGTGCTTTGACTTAAAGTTTGAATTCATTGTTTTAGTTGCAAATCAGCCTGGTATGTTGGCTTCATGTATGTAAAATACAGGTCCAAACTGCATAATATTACTAGTATTATAAAACTCTAGGTCATCAGAATATTGATTGCAATACAGACAGCATATGCTGAATAGGGCACATTGTCATTATTGAAGTCAATGGTAAGCCAGTTCTCAGCAGTCTTTCCCTGTCCTTGGTGCTGACTGCCTTCCCTTTGCATTACTATACAACAGTATACATGTGTATTCAGTGTGTTTCACCTTGAAGTGGTCAGTAACGTTATATGAAGCTCTAACCCTCCATAACGTTACATGTACACACTATATTCCCTGTCCTTGGTGCTGACTGCCTTCCCTTTGCATTACTGTACAATAGTACATGTTAGAGGTTGTAAATATTCAGTGCTGTTTCCAACTTGAAGTGGTCAGTATATGAAACTCTAACCCTCCATACATAACACTATATTCCCTGTCCTTGGTGCTGATTGCCTTCCCTTTGCATTACTGTACAATAGTATGGGTTAGAGGTTCTAAATATTCAGTGTGTTCCAACTGGAATTGGTCAGTATATGAAACTCTAACCTCCATATATATACATCTAACACTATATTCCCTGTCCTTGGTGCTGACTACCTTCCCTTTGCATTACTGTACAATTATATGTTAGAGGTTCTAAATTGGTGTGTCAAACTGTACTCTATAGTGGAGCAACTCCCCTGGCATGTTATCTCTCCATTTGGCCAATTTCCACTCTTTCCAGAGACCTCCCAAAGCCTGCAAAAGGCTAATCGATCCATTTAGCAGGAAATTTAAGGAAATGAGATAACCTTTTCTGGAACCTTTGACCTAACTTCCTGTTAGTGTTTTCAAAAGTCTGACATGTAGAAATCACATTGAGGAAACACAAGCAAGCACACAAACTAACAGATAATCCTAAAACAAAACCTTTGTTCACAGACTGAGGTAACAATGCAGACACTGTCACATTATCTTAGTCATTACTTTCACACATACAGTCAATGCTAACCTGACAAAATGATGGACTAAGCAGAGTCTTTCTGGCACAAATGCAGGAATAACGTCGAGTCAAATTACACGTAACGACAGTCTTGTACATGCCAAGGAGATGAGAGTATGTACCGTGCATGCATAGGCAATCGGCTTCCGCCCGGGGTCAAATAATTATTGATCACAACTCTCTCTCCAACAATGAACTTGATCCGCCCGTCTGTTCAAACTCCTTATCTCACCTTCACAGCCCAAACAAGCTCCATAAGCTCAGGTCTCTGTGATGGATACATACTGTAAATCACTTTTTTTTTTGTGGTACTTTTATATCCACATTTTTTGCGGTAACTTCTGTACTGCAATCATTACCATGAACAAATAATTCGCTGACTTTCTTTTTTCTGCACCTGCTGCCACTGTGAACATATAATTCTGCGAACATGTCATTTTTTCTCAGACCGAAAACTTTTGCTCCCGCAGACGTAAAGTGATTTACAGTACTCAGTAATGTATAACCCTTCACTGAAGGGCTGTCTGAAGGTTACTGGCCTTATAGGATCCATACTTAAAGTCCCTCTAAGGTGACTATAGAAGGCATTACAGGTGCATACGGTAACAAAGATGTTGCCATTTTCTTTTATGAGAGACCAAATGGGACTGAACAGAAATGTTACTAGAATGGCTATAAAAAAAACAGTTTTACATCCTCGTTACCGAAGGTAAAGGTTTGTAGTTGCAAAGATTTTTATGTTACACAGTTACGAGATGCCCTTTAATAGATTTATATTTTTGTAGCAAATTGGAGTTGCATGTCTGATAGCACCTAATTACCTGACTTTCATGCTAAGAATTTAAGCTCCGTGGTTAACATATTTTATGTTTTTTCTATATGAAATATCTTGTAGGGATGTCATTTTTTACAAATGGCATTTTAACGCTGAGGCCGTTTAGATTTAACTACCAGGTTTTAGTACCGGATTTCCTGTGTCTTTATGAATTTGTACACATAAAAAATTCATGTAGAGTTAACCCAGATATATCACCAGTTCTTATGACTTTAGCAATGAACACTTCTAAGAAATGTTTTAACAGTATATTTGCATTTTATGATAATAAAGTCAGAAAAATTTCTACAATAGATGTATTTCTAAATAATCACATGTCTAAGGGAACAATGTTCAAATTATTATCCTTTATAATTAATCCCAAAACAGTGATATCATCAGGACTTAGACTGAAGACGATTATGGATGTCTAGCACATCCGTTGGCAGACATCAGTTGACTGTAACTGATCCACCATGACCGAACATAAAATGCTGAACGTCTACATGTAAAACACTAAGGACTCGTGGGGGGATGTTACAATTACTGGTACTGTCAGCAGGCAGCATGATTTGAATTGTTACCGTGTTTTATGACGTCTGGTGACGCACTTTGCATGAAAACACCAAAATTATGGCTAAACTTGGGTCTGAAGATGTGAAATATCTGTGTGTTAATAGTAATTGTATTCTATGATTTCAATTTTCATCATATAATTTTTTTGTTTTGATAAGAATTACAGTATTATAGAATTATTGTTACTGTATATAATGTCTGGTGACACACTTTGCATGCAAAAGTATGGCTAAGCTTGGGTCTACAGAAGTATATAATCATATACATGTATGTGAAATACTTGAATTCTATGATTTCATCACATCCAAATTCTTGCTTTGAGGCTCACTTTATGTAGTGACTCTGAAATGAAATTTTAGAATCTTGCATTTGCAGACAGGTGAAGATTGTATTGTTCTAGGAAGACATGAATAGTTTCAAAGAACACAGGATGACACTCAAGCAACTAGATAGATTTTGAAAATCTTAATTCAACTGTTAGCTTACGTATCTCATTACCTGGATGTCAAACCTTTATGTTTTCAAAGAATCTCATTTTAAAACCTAAGCCTCCTGCTGCCTAACCCCATGTATCCATCCCACAACCAATAGAAATTTGGCAATGAATGCCTTAGAAATTCTGACATACTCATAGTGATACATGTAAAGCTCAAGACATGTACATGTAATTCTACAAAAGTGACTTCGTAAAAAGTAAGTTTCTCCTATTGCAAATTGCAAGGTGTGGTTTCATTTCAAGCCAGCAGTATTGTGTTTCACCTCTGCTCTTTCTCTAACCTTTTCTGAAAAGAATTTGGGATGGTAAGTTCACAATTATATATATGAGTCCTAGCATTGCTAGCCAAGCTAGCCATCCTATTGCATTGCTAGCCAAGCTAGCCATCCTATTCTAGTCCTATTCTGAATATGATTGCTGAAGATGAAAACAACATTCTTAGAACTGGCAATTTCATTGCACCATGAATATAAACATCCAAATTTAGTCTTCTTGTGTGTTCAGCCTGTAACAATCTTGAACTAACAGGGATGAAATAATCGCAGACATCAGTGTCAACGCCCATGCTTCCGGCCCATTTAACAGCCTGACAAGGTAATGGAATTTTCCCCCCAACAGTGATCAACAGATAACAGTAGACATTATCTTGCAACAGTGAAGATAAAACATGAAGTGTCAAGTTTGGGTAAGTGGTACTGCTACAGAACCAGTCCTGACATTCAATAAAAAAATCAAATCAACAATGAGAAACTTCTCTAGCTAGACTGGTTACCAAACGTACATGTATTTTAGCTCCCGAGTTTTTAATGAGGGTCTGCATGCCCTTTTTCGTTAACCGTTATGGGCTATTTTAATTTACCGTTAATCGTTGCCGACCCGCTCTAATTCAACGTTAAGCGTTATCAGTATATTCATCGTGAAGCGTTATTGGTCGTTTTAATTCAACGTAAAACGTTAGTTGTCATCCTAAATTCAGCGTTAAGCGTTAATGAATAATTCTTCGTTACGCCTAATTTTGCCTTTCAAAGTGCAGGAAAATGCGTCTTTGAAGGTTTAAAAATACAAAATTTCCCGGGGGAAAAATACAAAATTTCCCCGGACCCCCTACATTGCTCACGCCTTTGGCGCTCGACTCGCGCTTCTGCGCTCGGTCAAAATTTCCCCGGACCCCCCTTCATTGCTCACGCCTTTGGCGCTCGACTCGCGCTTCTGCGCTCGGTCAGTTTTCCCGTCAATTTCCGAAAGTTTGCGGAGAGTTACAGAATTTTTTTAACGAATCCGTCAACCTTGACAGGCAAATCAACAAAAATCTTGAGTAAAATATGAAAACATCAGAAGGACCAACAAACACTCTCAACACCATGATTTGCCTCTCCAAATGCGGGAAATTGCGTTTTTGAAGGCTTAAAAATCCTAAATTTCCCGGGGGAGCATTCCCCTGGACCCCCCTAGATTAATCCATCGGTAAAAGTGGGCAGACTGAAAAAATACAAGCTGACCGACGTCGACTCGGACTCCCCTTTATTTGTGGACGCACTCTGGGACCAGGGCAGGTGGGAAACACAGGGAACACATACCTTTAATGCATGCTTCATTACATGTAAGGTATACGTAATTTTGTCAGTGATCACCTTTTCTCACAAAGCGAGATACCAAATCCAGTGCAGCTCGAAAAAAAAAGCCTGTCAATTTACCGTTAAGCGTTGCCGACCGTCCTGAATTTACCGTTAAGCGTTATCAGCCCTGCTGAATTTACCGTTAACCGTTGCCAGGACCCCCCCATGCAGACCCTCTTTAATCCACTTCTATTTGCAGAGAGGACTCTGGAGCTAAAATACAAAGTAGGTTTGGTAACCAGGCTAAAAATTCCTTAGTGATGTAACATCTGTGTCCATAATATCACCAGGGTCCATAATATCGCCACCTTGAGAAATAGTGTGCTTAAAGATATAATTTTTTACCGCAACATACTTTTGGTATGCACTCCTGCACACATCAAATGTACATACCTAAGGTTTGTTGCAGTAAAAATATCTTTAAGCACACTATTTCTCAAGGTAG